GTCCGCAAAGAGGACCAGGGAACGGGCACTGATGCGGGGGTGGTCTAGGAGGGCTCACCAGCGGCTCGCAGGCGGCAATGGGCATCTTCCCTGTCAAGCCATAAGCTAGTTCTCTCCTAGCTTGCAGGATATGGACCTGTAGATCCGCGCAATGGAAGCACTCGGTGTCAGCAAAGGCCGCCTCAGCGTGGGCCAGGCCCAGGCAGGGGACACAGTGCTGATGGGTATCCGGTGGACTTATGAAGCCCACACAAACTCCACAACAAGTTATCCATCTTCAGGAAATTCCATTTAACGGGTCAGTGAAGTCAAGAAAATTCTGACGTAATTTCTGCTCTTGGCGCATATATACTGCCCGCCAAGCTTGTCAGTATTTGAATGCGATTTGCATAGATGAGCATCAGTTGGCCAGTTTATTGAACTGGCATTATCCTATAAGACTTCAGGATTTAGCACCTCAGTTCAAGTGCGATTTGACATTATCGAGAATTTAGCAAAAAACATTCAAAACACCCCTACAGAGTGCATGCTTACATTACGTGAAGTCTAGACTAGTTCGCCTGGTACTCGACTGGAAGTACCAGAATTCAAGCTTGCTCCTGGCAGGTTCCTCCGGAGCCTCCCAGCTCAGGTCAAGCTCCTTCACCGCCTTGGCAAGGACCCTGGCAAGCTCCCCATGGAGGTCCGCAAGGCCCTCGGTGTAGGGGTGATCCGACTTCGACCTCACCCATTCAAAACACCCCTACAGAGTGCACGCTTACATTACGTGAAGTCTAGACTAGTGTGAGTGTGCATTTAGAGTGTGTTCTTTCACAGTATGATTCAGTCTATTAAAATACGTTTAGAATGATCACAAAATTCAAGATATGGCGACAGAAAATGTATATATTTATATCATTTCATATAGTTGATCAATATCACACAAAGAGTGCCGTTTCTTTCTCCAAAAATTACCATGATTACAAACTGATTTTTTTTACAACCGTTCAAAAAACACAAAGTTAATTAAGAGACTTACGTTTTAGACACCATATTGCCTGTTTTTGTTCTATTTCCTCAACAAAAATAATTCCAAACAAAGCCACAGCACTGTTTTGCGTCTCTGAGCAACATGACGGTGTTTCGTTCCTGAATGAACCATTTAAATGATTTGGTTCAATCGCAATGACTCACTTATTAACAATGACTTGCTGCCACCAGCTGGCAGTTTTAATTTCACATTTAAAGTTTCTTTTTTATTATTTAAATAATTTCAAATAACAGTATTCAACGTTTTATGTTTAATATATCAAAACATTATTTATGCATTTGTAATTGCAGGTTAAATGCATTCATGTTCTGCACTAAACAGTAGTGTGTAAATACATCTAAAGGCCTCTTCAGATGCAGCTTCTGTGTTTCCTCTGCATTGCAAAGATGAATTTTATTGATACTGATTTAATTTGCTTGGTAACAGCATAAATGTCGTATTATTCTAATTCACTGATTAAATGTAAGAATTTGCCTCAAAAGTGGCTTAATAAAGGTAAAAATGCCCATAAAAGGTAAAAATCTATTTAAACTTATTGGAAAAGATTAATTTCTATCAGTGTGAACTGACCACCACACAGAATATGAAAAATATCAAAAACTTTAGGAGTCAGCTGTCTACTGCAGTCCTTAAGATACCAGCACAATAACACACTCAGTAAAATATTGTCTAATTATCATTATCAATAAAATCCAAGAAAATATAGAGATATTATTTTTTGTCAATATCGCACACCCCTAACGTGAACCCATCATAACTTTCTCTTTACTACTATATTACGAAATGAACATGAATGGACATTAAAAGGTAGACTATTTTATAAGATAGCCTACAGTACAACTTACTGAAATGTTTCATGTAATCGCTCATTCAGCGTTTCAAACTGCGGAAAACGTGTAAAGCTTAAAAATAAATTTACCTCAGAATAACTATTCGGTGTCCATAAGCTCATCAGTCTGCTAGAAAAATAACTATAAAGAGGAGCATTTTGCTATATCTATGCGCTATTGCATATTAATATTTTTACCTTTTGTCTACGTGATAAGAAAGAATGCAAGCTATAGATAAAATTCAACATCCTATAAAAAAAAAATTCTAATGAAGAAAAACCGACTAGATGTGTGAAAAACATATGACAACATTTATAAGATGCATTGAGGAGGAGCCCAAACTACACTCAACGACCAAGTGGTACTTCTTATAGTCCATGATATTGGCACAGATTCTGTGTACAAAACAATTCTTTGTGACTGTATATTTCAAAGACGTTAAGTTCCCACTTTAAGTGAACCTTAGTTCCCAGGTCATCCGAAGATGAATTAAAATGCTGATAAATTAAAAATTATGAGACAAAAACACATGACAGTATGATTGTGTTGTTATGATTGAATGTTAAATGTAAAAAATATAAAAATATATTTTACAAAAATAATAAATAAAACACGTTTATTCTGTGGCACCTAAAAAAATAATTTGGCACCTAAGTTTGTTTCTTATAGGAGCCAATGGCTCCTTACTCCCCCTCTTAGAAAAAAAGCCCCAGTAGTGATCATGAGTGTGTTTGGTACCTTCACTATTTGATTGTTATTGATGTAATGAAGTGTGTTGGCTCGGTTTCCACCGGCAACCACAGGTGGATATGCCAGGAAGTTTGCGCCATGAGCACGGCATTCAAAGTCAAACTGTACAGAAGAACAAAAAGGGAAACAGGGGAGAAAAGAAAGAGTAAGCAAGAAAGCAGGCACAGATGTTATTCAACATGTGGGCTGGACACTACAGCGTGACTCTCCAAGAGCCTGCTGACGGCACTTTGTTTCTGTGGTACATTTTTAGTTCTCAGACGGTCCATTACCTCTGCATCACCCAACAGCCAAACAATGACAACTTTATATAGTAATTGTACCCCAACATTTCAGAGCGACAAAAACTTCTGAAAGGCTTAAAAATAACTGCCATTAATTGATCCAAAGTGTCTTTAAAGACATTTATAATGTTACAAAAGATTTCTGTTTCAAATAAATGCTGTTCTTTTGAACTTTGTAATTATCAGATAATCCTGAAAAAAGTATAATGGTTTCCTAAAAACAAATATTAAGCAGCACAGCTGTTTACAACAGTGATGATAATACAACCCCAATTCCAGAGAAGTTGGGACATTTTGTAAAATGCAATAAAATCAAGAATCTGTGATTTGTTCATTCTCTTTAACTTTTATTTAATTGAAAAAAAGTACAAAGAAAAGATTTCCCAAGTTTTCACTGGCCATCATAAATGTATTTTGTAAATATTAACAAATTTTGTTTTTGACGGCTGCAACACACTCCAAAAAAGTGGGACAGAGGCAAAATAAAAGTGAAAACGTTATAGAATATCCACGTTAAACTGTTTTGAAACAGCTCACAGTAAGCAGGTGAATTGGTAATAGGTCAAGGTATCATGTTTGGGTATAAAAGGAGCATCTCAGTCTTTGCAAGCAAAGCTGGATCATGGGCATGGCTCATTACTTTGTGCCAAATTTCACAAGAAAAGTGTCAAACAAATCAAAAATCACATTTCGCAATGCAAAATTGCAAAGAATTTAGGTCTTTCACCAACTACCACACGTAATATTGTGAAAAGATTCAGAGAAATCACAGTACATGTAGGGCAAGGCAGGAAACCTCAGTTGAATGTGCTTGACCTTTGAGCCCTCAGATGGCACTGCATAAGAAACCGTCATGCTGCGGTGTTAAATATAGCCACATGGGCTCAAGAGTACTTCAGAAAACCACTGTCATTCATTGCAAAGATGAATTTTATTGATACTGATTTAATTTGCTTGGTAACAGCATAAATGTCGTATTATTCTAATTCACTGATTAAATGTAAGAATTTGCCTCAAAAGTGGCTTAATAAAGGTAAAAATGCCCATAAAAGGTAAAAATCTATTTAAACTTATTGGAAAAGATTAATTTCTATCAGTGTGAACTGACCACCACACAGAATATGAAAAATATCAAAAACTTTAGGAGTCAGCTGTCTACTGCAGTCCTTAAGATACCAGCACAATAACACACTCAGTAAAATATTGTCTAATTATCATTATCAATAAAATCCAAGAAAATATAGAGATATTATTTTTTGTCAATATCGCACACCCCTAACGTGAACCCATCATAACTTTCTCTTTACTACTATATTACGAAATGAACATGAATGGACATTAAAAGGTAGACTATTTTATAAGATAGCCTACAGTACAACTTACTGAAATGTTTCATGTAATCGCTCATTCAGCGTTTCAAACTGCGGAAAACGTGTAAAGCTTAAAAATAAATTTACCTCAGAATAACTATTCGGTGTCCATAAGCTCATCAGTCTGCTAGAAAAATAACTATAAAGAGGAGCATTTTGCTATATCTATGCGCTATTGCATATTAATATTTTTACCTTTTGTCTACGTGATAAGAAAGAATGCAAGCTATAGATAAAATTCAACATCCTATAAAAAAAAAATTCTAATGAAGAAAAACCGACTAGATGTGTGAAAAACATATGACAACATTTATAAGATGCATTGAGGAGGAGCCCAAACTACACTCAACGACCAAGTGGTACTTCTTATAGTCCATGATATTGGCACAGATTCTGTGTACAAAACAATTCTTTGTGACTGTATATTTCAAAGACGTTAAGTTCCCACTTTAAGTGAACCTTAGTTCCCAGGTCATCCGAAGATGAATTAAAATGCTGATAAATTAAAAATTATGAGACAAAAACACATGACAGTATGATTGTGTTGTTATGATTGAATGTTAAATGTAAAAAATATAAAAATATATTTTACAAAAATAATAAATAAAACACGTTTATTCTGTGGCACCTAAAAAAATAATTTGGCACCTAAGTTTGTTTCTTATAGGAGCCAATGGCTCCTTACTCCCCCTCTTAGAAAAAAAGCCCCAGTAGTGATCATGAGTGTGTTTGGTACCTTCACTATTTGATTGTTATTGATGTAATGAAGTGTGTTGGCTCGGTTTCCACCGGCAACCACAGGTGGATATGCCAGGAAGTTTGCGCCATGAGCACGGCATTCAAAGTCAAACTGTACAGAAGAACAAAAAGGGAAACAGGGGAGAAAAGAAAGAGTAAGCAAGAAAGCAGGCACAGATGTTATTCAACATGTGGGCTGGACACTACAGCGTGACTCTCCAAGAGCCTGCTGACGGCACTTTGTTTCTGTGGTACATTTTTAGTTCTCAGACGGTCCATTACCTCTGCATCACCCAACAGCCAAACAATGACAACTTTATATAGTAATTGTACCCCAACATTTCAGAGCGACAAAAACTTCTGAAAGGCTTAAAAATAACTGCCATTAATTGATCCAAAGTGTCTTTAAAGACATTTATAATGTTACAAAAGATTTCTGTTTCAAATAAATGCTGTTCTTTTGAACTTTGTAATTATCAGATAATCCTGAAAAAAGTATAATGGTTTCCTAAAAACAAATATTAAGCAGCACAGCTGTTTACAACAGTGATGATAATACAACCCCAATTCCAGAGAAGTTGGGACATTTTGTAAAATGCAATAAAATCAAGAATCTGTGATTTGTTCATTCTCTTTAACTTTTATTTAATTGAAAAAAAGTACAAAGAAAAGATTTCCCAAGTTTTCACTGGCCATCATAAATGTATTTTGTAAATATTAACAAATTTTGTTTTTGACGGCTGCAACACACTCCAAAAAAGTGGGACAGAGGCAAAATAAAAGTGAAAACGTTATAGAATATCCACGTTAAACTGTTTTGAAACAGCTCACAGTAAGCAGGTGAATTGGTAATAGGTCAAGGTATCATGTTTGGGTATAAAAGGAGCATCTCAGTCTTTGCAAGCAAAGCTGGATCATGGGCATGGCTCATTACTTTGTGCCAAATTTCACAAGAAAAGTGTCAAACAAATCAAAAATCACATTTCGCAATGCAAAATTGCAAAGAATTTAGGTCTTTCACCAACTACCACACGTAATATTGTGAAAAGATTCAGAGAAATCACAGTACATGTAGGGCAAGGCAGGAAACCTCAGTTGAATGTGCTTGACCTTTGAGCCCTCAGATGGCACTGCATAAGAAACCGTAATGCTGCGGTGTTAAATATAGCCACATGGGCTCAAGAGTACTTCAGAAAACCACTGTCATTTACCACAATCTGCTGCTGCATCAAGAAATGCAACTTGAATATCTGTTACTCTAGGAGAAAGCTACACATCAATTCTATGCAGCGATGCTGCCGGGTTCTCTGGGCCAGAGCTCATCTCAGAGTAAAAAATACAATGTGTGCTGTACTCAGTTGAGTCCACATTTCAACTTGTTTCCGGGAAAAATGGATTTAGAGTTCTCAGTCCCAAAGACCAAAGGGGCCATCCAGACTTTCATCAGCGACAGAAGCAAAGCAAACGTCTGTCATGGTATGGGGGTGCAGCAGAGCAAACAGCATGGGTGACTGGCATATGTGCGAAGGTACTACTGACATGGACGCATATACCGGGGATTGTACAGAGATATACAGTGGTGTGAAAAAGTGTTGGCCTCCTTCCTGTTTTTTAAATGTTTTGCATATTTGTCACACTTAAAAGATTCAGATCATCAAACTAATTTTAATATTACACAAAGATAATGCAAGTAAATACAAAATGCAGTTTTTAAATGATTATTTATTTTATTAAGGGAAAAAAGCTGTCCAAACCTGCCTGGCCCTATGTGAAAAAGTAATGGTTGGCCGGCAACTCCTGGGAAGGTTCACCATTGTTCCAAGTTTTCTCAATTTGTGGATAATGGCTCTGACCGTGGTTCGCTGGAGTCCCAAAGCCTTAGAAATGGCTTTATAATCCTTTCCATACTGATACATGTCAACTGTTTTGATTCTCATCTGTTCTTGAATTTCTTTAGATCGCAGCATGAAGTGCTGCTCTTTAAGCATGCTTCACTTTGTCAGACAGGTTCTATTTAAGTGATTTCTTAATTCAACAGGTCTGGCAGTAATCAGGCCTGGGTGTGGCTAGTGAAATTTAACTCAGCTTTCTAAAATAATGTGGTTAATTGCAGTTCTTTCATGATTTAACAGGGGGGGGGCAATTAATTTTTCACATAGGGTCACGTAGGTTTGGATCGCTTTTTTCCCTTAATAAATGAAATCATCATTTAAAAACTGCATTTTGTATTTACTTGCATTATCTTTGTGTAATATTTACATTTGTTTGATGATCTGAAACATTAAAGTGTGACAAACATGCAAAAAAATAAAAAATCACAACACTTTTTCACACCACTGTATACTGCCATCAAGATGATGTCTTTCATGGGAAGTCCATGGTTATTATATCAAGACAATGCTCATTCTGCATGTGCTACAACAGCGTGGTTTCATAGACAGAGTGAATGTGCTAGCCTGGCCAGCAGATCTGTCTCCTGTTTCCTAAATGTATGGCTCATCATGAAAAGGAGAATCAGACAACAACAATCACAGACTGCTGAGAGCATCTGAAGTCTTGTATCAAGCCAGATTGGACAAAAATTTTACTTGCAGAACTTTAACAATTAGTATCCTCAATTCCTAAACATTTAAACATTAATTAAAAGGAAGGTTGATGTTACACAGTGTTAAACATGCCTCTGTCCCAACTTTTTTGGAGTGTGTTGCAGCCATCAAAATCCAAATTTGTTCATATTTACAAAATACATTTACGTTGGTCAGTGAAAACTTTGGAAATCTTTTCTTAGTACTTTTGTCAATTAAATAAAAGTTAAAGAGAATGAACAAATCACAGATTCTTGGTTTTATTGCATTTTACAAAATGTCCCAACTTCTCTGGAATTGGGGTTGTAATAAGAAATGTTTCTTGAGCAGCAAATCAGCATATTAGAGTGATTTCTGAAGGATCATGTGACACTGAAGACTGGAGTAATGATGCTGAACATTCAGCTTTGAATCACAGGAATAAATTACATCTGAAATTGTATTAAAATACTGTATCAAATAAATGCAACCTTCTTGAGTGTGAGAGACTTATTTAAAAAAAAAAAATGTTTTATAAACTTTTAAACGGTAATGTATTTTCACTAAAATTTATCATTATTATTTCACCCTGTGTAAATCAACAATTTTTATGAAGGATTATTATTTCAAGATTAAAATATCCATCTGAGATATACTATTCATAAAGCCAGAAGAGTTACTGCATTATGCTGGAAGAATATAGATGCTCCATCCTTAGGAGATATTGAACTGTATCGGACTGGAGAGTAGGCTTGCCGTGATAGACGGTGCTGACGGTGATACCGTTGTTAAGCCGGTTACGTCACTTGCCCACCGCGTCACCGACCCCTACCGTCGTTTTGATTTTTTATAGTAATAAAAATCATTTAGTTCAGTAAAAGAACAGACACTACAATTAAAAACTGAACGCGGCTGCTCAATGCAGTTGAACGACAGTTGCATCACAGATCAGATTTAATTTCTCCAGTGAGGAGAGTGAGTCGAGCTGACTGACAAGTAGGGTGGGGTGAGACAGACAAGACGATCGCGGATGATTTAGTTTCGAAACGAAATGCAAAAGCGCCTGTTTGGCAATATTTTGGATTTTGAAAAGCCTGTTGACTTTTGCCGTTTATCTAAGGTGATTTTGGAAGTTTTTTTAAACATTCGTTTCTTATTTAATTGGTTCCACATTGTTTGCTGATTTTTACTTTATTTAAACTTTGTGTCATTTATTTATTTTATTTGACATCAAGGTGTATGCCGTGCCTCCAAGCTTTCTTACTCGTTTTGCTAATAAACTTTCTGCGTTTCTTATTTACCTGGTTATATATTATACATATTTACTTGTTTCCAGTTTTGTACATTTAAACTTTATGTAAGTTATTTGTTATTTTATATTAGGCATAGCCTGCCCTATAGCATGGTGTATTTTTATTTATTTTGTTAATAAAAGTTCTGTTTTATATATACGCTAAAGTGAGTTTGACGTTGCACGGCGATTTTAAGCTATTTAAAAGTGAAGGAAAGCAAGGAAAAGAGGGAAAATTCAAACAAACTAAAAACGAATAATTGCTTTACTCCGAATTGCCACTATTTGAAAGTGAAAGTAAAATGTGCACGCCGCTTTTACAAGCTATTTAAAAGCGAAGGAAAGCTAGGAAAAGAGGGAACGCCTCCGCCCCCACGGTGATACCGGTATTACCGGTGTTGTCACACGTTGATTAACCGGTGGGAAAATTGCCTCACCGTCACAACCCTACTGGAGAGACTAACTTATAAAGCTAAGGGCAAGTGGAAAGACTTTGATCAGCTATGGGAACCATAAATGAACATCATGTAAAATAGAAATGTAGACTTTACTTGACATTGTAAACACAGTCTGTGACCAATTTATCCATTTATTTACTTTTATTTAGATTATAATTTAGTCTGTTTTATTGTTCTTTATTATATTGGCTATAAAGATATTAGGGGAAAAGAAAACTAAATGATCGAAGCCAATTAAAAAAATTCTTAATGTGATCATTTTAATGTGGCCTTCATATATAGAACAAATCATTTTATTTAAAAAAAAAAAAAAAGTTTTTATTAAAATCAAACCCCTAGACATAAAATGTCATAAGTTGAAAAAACATATAATATGATATATAATAGGGTACAGGTTGCTAAACACTAAATCTGTTTTATTGTTCTTTATTATATTGGCTATAAAGATATTAGGGGAAAAGAAAACTAAATGATCGAAGCCAATTAAAAAAATTCTTAATGTGATCATTTTAATGTGGCCTTCATATATAGAACAAATCATTTTATTTAAAAAAAAGAAAAAAGTTTTTATTAAAATCAAACCCCTAGACATAAAATGTCATAAGTTGAAAAAACATATAATATGATATATAATAGGGTACAGGTTGCTAAACACTAAATATTTTGTTTAAATTGACTGTTTATGCATGTGCGCATGAATTGAGTCCCTCTGCTCACCTTTGCATAGAGAACTGTCTCATCAATGTCTCCTTTTGACATGGCCATCGTCTTCTTAAATGCCTGAAGATAAACGCATGGCTTAACATAGTGCATGTTTGATCTTCATCAAGTCCCTCATAACTGAAATGATCAATTCACTCAGACTTTATATGAACATCTTACTTTCCTCAACCTAACGAAGCCACCCAAGATCACCCAGACCTTCCTTTAAAGTCATTTCCCACAACATACGGTACTATTATTAGAGATTCATTACCTGGGCAGTGATCTGTCCTGCCGCCTTCATCAGAGCGACCTCTGCTGGGCTCTTAATGGCTCTGAGGGAATGAGTGAGGGGTCGGAGAGACTTCGTCAGCTGTCCTCCTTCCAATAGGGGGAGCACATGAGTCTGGTGTAAATGTGGATGGCAAGGCTGAGAGCTGTCGTACCATATAGCTCCTCCTAAGAGAAAAATAAAAAATAAAAAAAAAGAGTAAGATACTGATGCATATGTAAACCTTGAAAGCATGTAAATGTATGTTCGTTTTTTACCTTTCAAGCTTTTTAGCACTACACCCAGCTCCTCTGTGCTGTGAACCCGCTCTAGACCCGTTAAAGCAGCTGCCCCATCTTTCCCCGAGCGAGGGCCGTCCCAAAGCTCTCGCGACGGGTCTCGCCGTGGGACGAATAACACAGCCTGGTCCGGCTTACCCGATCCGTACATCACCAGTGCGCTGTCCGGCTCCATAATTCCTGTCAGGTACAGGAAGTCCTGGTTCTGGTGGAACGGGTAAGGGATGTCATTGGTCATGTAGCGAATGGGATGCGATAGGATGATGACAATGTGGGAGGAGTTTGAAGAGGCTCCAGAACCTGTTAGTCGTTCCGCCTGCATCTTGATCAGAGATGCCAAGCGCTGCCGGCGAAACTCAAACTCGGTCTGGGTGAGACCTGGCATCACCTCACCTATGAGACGAAGACATTTGCAAGGCTATTAAACAACCCAGAGCAATCCATTTTACTTTCTATAGTGTTAGCTACACCTACCGTGTTTTTTTTTGGTCAAATACATTAAATTGCTTAAAAATTACAGTAAAGACATTTATAATGTTTCAAAAGATTTCTATTTCGATAAATGATGGTCTTTTGAACTTTCTATTAATCCAATTATTCTTAAAAAAATGTGTCATGGTTTCCATAAACCATGCAGCACTAAGCAGCACACCTGTTTTCAACATTGATAATAAGAATAAATTACATTTTAAAATACATAAACAGTCAAATAGAAAACAGTTAATTTAAATTGTAATAATATTTCACAATCAAATAAATGCAGCCTTGGTGAACATAAGACTAACACATTTTTACTGACACAAAACATTTGAATAGTAGTATATTTCAAAATGAAACAAAATAATTAACAACAAAAAACGTATTTGATTTGTTCCAGAAAGAAAGTTGGCATTCCATTATCATTATATTATTGGCCGTCAATGTGTTAATTAAATGAAATATTTGTAAAGCCTTTATTATCTACAACAGTATTATCTATAACAAGGGCTAAATAGCTATTATACATAGCCTGCATGGCCTAAGTGACATCAGCCAAAAATGATGTTACATGTTAGTCAAAGATTACAAACACATTTTTCATCTTTGTAAAAATGTGTACAATCAATTGTTCACAATAAAACCAAGAACCTACATTGTGAGACTCGTAAAGGTCAGTTGTCAACTTCAAATGAAAAAACTGAAAAGGAGACTAATCTCGGTTTCTCTCACCGTATCTGATGAGGTGAGGGTGCGTGTACGGGCTTGGCTGACCCAGGTATCTCTGAGGAACTTTCTTGGTTTTCCATCCTCCTGTTTTCACAGACACATTCCTGCAGTGACACCACACAGACCCTGTAAAACAAAACAAAGCTACAGTCAACTGCATTTGCAACCCATTTTACTTCCCTATTTTGATGTACACTACTGTTCGAAGCTTCAGGGTCATTTATTTGGGGAAGGGGAAGGGGAAGGGGAAGGGGAAGGGGAAGTCGTGGCCCAATGGTTAGAGAGTCAGACTCGTAAACCCAAAGGTTGCGGGTTCAAGTCTGGTATTGGCATACAATGCTTGCCTTCACAAACACCAGCAGCAGCAAGGTTCCTGCCATGTCCCCCAAAACTCAGCTATGAGTTCAATGAATACGCTGCATTGAATGACAGACCTGCAGATGAGTTTAGTATAACTGTAATACATCACCTGGACTCCAGTGAGAGCGAGTAACGCACTGGACGGCGGCTCTCAGTATACCGCTGCTGGAATGCAACATTGCCGCAAGTCCGCGAGATTTCTGATCAGCTGCACTGATCCGCCGACTTTCAACATGAGGTAGAATAAGTTCGCACAACAGCGTGCATTAGAAATACATGAACCGAAATGATTTCGGATTGTTAACCTAAAGGTAACATACTAAAAAAAGAACAACGCACATGTAAGTTCTTACTCAACTCATACAACTGTAAGCATGATCGCATGGAAGGTGACAGTGTCACGCCCCCTCCCTCAAGACTCTGAGCTCCGATTGGTGGAGTGAGAGCGGCTCCAGCGCTCTGATTGGACAGCTCTGTTATGACAGTTACGATCTGCGACTCTGAATGATGGCGGACCCTTTGTTTCTTTTTTGTGTGGATCAAACATAACTTTTTACATTTTTTAACCGATTTATTATTTTTGTATTTTTTTTTCTTTGTTGTAATTTATTGTTGTATTCTAGTGTCAGAGATGAAAAAAATCTCTTAATCTCAAATATAGATTTATTTATATTTTATGTGTATAGAATTTGCCTAAAACGGGTTACAATTTAACAAAATAATATTGATTGAATTGGGACATTTCATACTTATGAAAACCAAACAGTACGACTTCTAGGCTGTTTTTTCCCCTCTTTAATATTCTTTAATAAATGAGCAAATTTCCAAACAAAAGCACACATCAAAATTAACAAGATATATGAATACCATAGAAAGAGTTACAGAGATCATATTTTTGAATAGTCTTCAATGGATATTATAAATATTTATGGGGTATAGCGCAAGCTTTCAAATACATACCATCCTTCTGAAGAAGACAGAATGCATAAATGGTTATTCCCATGACTTTAAATGAGAAGCGCAACATATCTGTGCAATTTTTTTTTCTTTATTAACAACTGAACAACATTATAAAATACTACTACGAATAACAACAAAGAGAAATTGGGGTAAAAAAGAAAAACACATTAAAAAGCAAAACAAAGGTGTATCAGAGTCTCTAATACAGTCAGTGTACTGCCCGGTTTCACACAGTAAATCAGCAAATGTACATTTATATAGAGAGACTGTAATCACGCTCATAACATAATTAATTAATTATTTAAAATGTTTAAAATACTACTACGAATAACAACAAAGAGAAATTGGGGTAAAAAAGAAAAACACATTAAAAAGCAAAACAAAGGTCTCTAATACAGTCAGTGTACTGCCCGGTTTCACACAGTAAATCAGCAAATGTACATTTATATAGAGAGACTGTAATCACGCTCATAACATAATTAATTAATTATTTAAAATGTTGTTTTATATTTGCGCATGTTCTGCATGTACACCCAAACGACTGCGGTGCCAGAAGGACCCCTGTTGTTTTGGTTTTGTCATAGTAGTGAGTGAGTAGTTTAATTCCCGCCTGCGCAAAATTCGCAGTCTCGATCTCGCGACCCTCAAATCGCTGCTGGGGAAGCACGTTGTAGGCACTTTGCTCTTTCAGGTACAACATTAACGTTTTATTTTTCGAACGAACGTTTATTGAGACCGTTGAATAAAAGAAGAATTACAATTCCACGCCGATGTAACGCTTCCTCGCGCATTATTTCCAGAAGCTTCTATGCAGCGCGTGCGTTAATCCCGTACGCCACTAATTACGGGTTATTTCCTGCACTGTTGCATTACAGTTTACATAATTAATTAATTATTTAAAATGTTGTTTTATATTTGCGCATGTTCTGCATGTACACCCAAACGACTGCGGTGCCAGAAGGACCCCTGTTGTTTTGGTTTTGTCATAGTAGTGAGTGAGTAGTTTAATTCCCGCCTGCGCAAAATTCGCAGTCTCGATCTCGCGACCCTCAAATCGCTGCTGGGGAAGCACGTTGTAGGCACTTTGCTCTTTCAGGTACAACATTAACGTTTTATTTTTCGAACGAACGTTTATTGAGACCGTTGAATAAAAGAAGAATTACAATTCCTCGCCGATGTAACGCTTCCTCGCGCATTATTTCCAGAAGCTTCTATGCAGCGCGTGCGTTAATCCCGTACGCCACTAATTACGGGTTATTTCCTGCACTGTTGCATTACACAGTTCCTTGGCGTTGCATAATTTATTAATAGTCTTCAATGGATATTATAAATATTTATGGGGTATAGCGCAAGCTTTCAAATACATACCATCCTTCTGAAGAAGACAGAATGCATAAATGGTTATTCCCATGACTTTAAATGAGAAGCGCAACATATCTGTGCAATTTTTTTTTCTTTATTAACAACTGAACAACATTATAAAATACTACTACGAATAACAACAAAGAGAAATTGGGGTAAAAAAGAAAAACACATTAAAAAGCAAAACAAAGGTGTATCAGAGTCTCTAATACAGTCAGTGTACTGCCCGGTTTCACACAGTAAATCAGCAAATGTACATTTATATAGAGAGACTGTAATCACGCTCATAACATAATTAATTAATTATTTAAAATGTTTTTTTATATTTGCGCATGTTCTGCATGTACACCCAAACGACTGCGGTGCCAGAAGGACCCCTGTTGTTTTGGTTTTGTCATAGTAGTGAGTGAGTAGTTTAATTCCCGCCTGCGCAAAATTCGCAGTCTCGATCTCGCGACCCTCAAATCGCTGCTGGGGAAGCACGTTGTAGGCACTTTGCTCTTTCAGGTACAACATTAACGTTTTATTTTTCGAACGAACGTTTATTGAGACCGTTGAATAAAAGAAGAATTACAATTCCACGCCGATGTAACGCTTCCTCGCGCATTATTTCCAGAAGCTTCTATGCAGCGCGTGCGTTAATCCCGTACGCCACTAATTACGGGTTATTTCCTGCACTGTTGCATTACAGTTTCTTGGCGTTGCATAATTTATTAAGCCCGCGCTCTGATCGTAATAATAATAGTAATAATAATAACGCACGTTTCCTTGTTTTCCAGCACATTTGCTTGAGTTTGGTTGGTGGTGTGGAAAATGGATTCGCGGAAAGTGTCGGAGTTAAAGGCCTTTGTGCAGCTGTGCAAAGAAAACCCATCTGTGCTGCATCTGCCAGAGATGGGCTTCTTTAAGAGCTGGCTGCAGGGGTCAGTGCTTGTTTGTGTTGTTTATGGTTTTGCATTCAGTATTGATTCCAAATGCTATGTTTTTCCATTACAGTAATGATAAACCAAGAAGTGCGTTGTGTAATAATGTAGGTTTCTATGTCAAAGTTTAGTGTCCAGCATGACATGTGGCTCCCAGAAAGTTCTAGCTTCATCACTTTTCAGTGGAGCACACAGATACATAAACATCCCTGTGTGACTCATAGCAAAAGCAAATATGTTACTTTATTATAGAATGGGAGGAAACATACCATCACCAACGAAGAATGACCGCTCATCATGCAAGGTAGGAAAAGAAATCAAGAAGAATTATTCAGAATTATAGAATCAGAATTATTTTGCTGTCTTTATTACACAACCTCAAACACACACACACACAGCATAACGGGCTGTAAATATTAATAATATTATAAATAATATATATACAAGGATGTATTAATGACTACCATTATGACTTTCCACATGTTTCATAGATCTTGAGAGTGAATGTAAACATAACTAGCTTGTGCATTTCCAAGTTACCTTTGAATGAAATCCATTTTTATCTTTCCCTAAATTGTGTATTCCATTTTATTTTATTCTGGATTCTGTGTTTTATGATTTAATGCATTTTATTGATTATTAATTTGATCATTTGTCGAATGAAATACATTTATAAAACTCTTAAAAATTAAATACATTACGAAATAATCAAATGAATGCATCACATAATTTGCAACAGAGCATTTCATTTTAATTTTGTCAAATGAGACTAAACAGAACTGCATAAGTTAAAATGTGGATGAAAAATATCTAGAATGTTTTTCAAAAAATAATTGAATGTAAACATAACTAGCTTGTGCATTTCCAAGTTACCTTTGAATGAAATCCATTTTTATCTTTCCCTAAATTGTGTATTCCATTTTATTTTATTCTGGATTCTGTGTTTTATGATTTAATACATTTTATTGATTATTAATTTGATCATTTGTCGAATGAAATACATTTATAAAACTCTTAAAAATTAAATACATTACGAAATAATCAAATGAATGCATCACATAATTTGCAACGAAGCATTTCATTTTAATTTTGTTTTGTCAAATGAGACTAAACAGAATTGCATAAGTTAAAATGTGGATGAAAAATATCTAGAATGTTTTTCAAAAAATAATACTAGTATCATTAATTTATAAGAATTGCATTTTAGTATACAGTATTTCTGTCATAGTATTTCTTCCAGTTTTGGTGGTTTGTCGTGAAGATCGTGGCATTTCAGTGTGTATTTGATGGTAGTTTTTCTCAAACAAACTGGTGAAAGCTCTGAAGTGACTGTCAGTGCTTTAGATCCATGCCACTGTATGTGATCTGAAACTGTGGCATGGTTGTTTTATGATATTTTCTAAAGATTGCCGCTGTCTGTGTTTTCATTTGTCTGTAGGGAAGCTGTCCATGTGATGGGGCCCCCAAAGCAGCGCCAGAACCCGAACCCACCCCGCCAACTGAGAGCGAAGAGAGTGAATTAGGTATGTTGACTCTAATATCTCCTTTAATATCTTTTGTTTGCTCCTCATATGCCATCGCTCTGGCCTTTTCTGTGGATTGGTAATAGCGCTGAACTTTCACTAAACTTTTCGAGCTATTGCTGGCTCACGATTTCTCGCTCTATGGCAATGTGCAACATCAGCTTCATTTTTGATATTCAAACTTGGGCAGTTAGTAGACAATGAAACGGATACCAACAGCGTCTGATATGAAGCTGATATCTAAGCTCAAAAAATTAACCTTTAAAGCAACATTAAAGTCTGTTTTGTAGTGTCCTGGAAACTAGAGGCTGAAATCGTTTGACTGTAGAGATAAAAAAAGAAGCTGTTTGTGACTACATAAACTTCTGAAGGTAAAGAAGCTGTTAAAAGGGCAATCCCTAAAAATGCCAGTAAAGCTTTACCCTGCACAGTCAATTTTTAATCTCATTTGCAAATGTCTGTGTGGAGAATATGCTTTTATTTTGTAACAACAGTTTCTAATGCTTACGCTGCTATGTGAACGTTTCTTCAGAAATTGACAATGAAGGAGTGATTGAGCCCGACACAGATGATCCTCAGGAGATGGGCGATTATGAGAACATG